AGTCAGAGTGGCCAGGGGAATGAAGTATTTTGTTGTCAGGCCTGGATTACCTGCCTGTGCCTGGAGCAGGATGGAAGCAGGGTAAGCTTCACCTGAAGCACATGGTCTAAGCTGGATTATCCTACAGTGGGGGAAGGATGGTTCCCCTAAGGAAAAGATGTAAGGGCAGCCCCCCTGCCCCCTCCCTCCGAATTAATTATAGTTTTCTGTGGGTGCCAGGGAAGTCATATGGATAGAGATGAAAAATCCTCTGGAGATTCTGATAGGCCTTTTCAAGGCACCCTCTCTCCCTCCGATCAGAACCACTGACAGTAATGTAATATGCTTTTCCCCCCATATTCACAACACAATGGTGGATGAAAAAAAATATTTATATGGTATGGTGGAAAGAGAGGTGGATAGAGAGCAAGGAGACCTAGGTTTGAGTGCTGGTCTTGCCCTTGGGTAAGTATTTGTCCTTGGGCAAATCATTTAACTTGTTAGAATTGTTTCCTACTTATGAAACTAAGGGTTTGGACTTAGTGAGGTACTTTTCATTTCCATGACTATACGATTCCAAGAACAAATACTTGCAATATATATTAAGTATGGCAACTGGTTAACATTTTAAAACTTATTCAGATAAATAAGAACACCAAGAGGTGGCTCCAAGTAGATGAATGGACAAAGAAGATAAGCAATTTCATACAAGAATAAAAAGAGACACTAAATAACTATTTAAAAAGAAAGGTTAGCCAAACAAGTGATGAAAAACAAATTACTCAACAACATTTTATTATTTTACATATTTTAAATTAGCAAAATGAAGTTTCAAAAGTAATATATTGCTTGCTGAACCATGGAGAAACTGGTACTTATAGTGATGATAGTCTGGTTAATTAGTTAAAATTTTTTGGAAAAAGAGCCATAAAAATGGTTGTGCATTGGAATTACACTTAGGAAATGGTATGAAAGAAGAAAAAAACTTCACTATAAATATACTCTGCAATGGTAAGTGTAATAGTGACAAATTGGAAATAACTTAAATGTTCAACAGTATGTAGGTAGTTTGATGAATTATATGATAAAATCAATTTAATGTTTTGATTATTGTTAATTAACATGAAGACAGAGTTGAAATGGAAAATGTCCAAAGAATACCATATTTCATTGAATCTCAGATTCCATAATTTCTGAGATGGAAGGAAACACTCTAGCACTTAAACTTTGACACAATGTCAAATGATATGTGAATTGTTCACACAGACTTCTTGGTGATTTAATATGTTTGTCCACTATGCTAAAGAATTTGGCAGTTTCTCTTCACTTTGTATTGCATGGCCGGAGATAGAACCTTTTCAGATGTTATTTCTGTAACAGAAGATAACACAGCTTTGTCTATTTGTGGAAGTCCTCCTATCTTAGGTCTTATAAAGCTTTTGTGTTTTTCCCTTGAAGAAAAATATGAAATTGCAGGCATTCTTCTGTCAATGAGTTTTTGCTTCACTGATAACAAATTTACATCTCACTTCTCTGTTCNACTCACGGCAGCCCAGCTCCAGGTTGAGCTGTTGTCCAGCATCTTAGCTGTGGAGGGCAGTGTCACTGGCCCTCATATGTGAGATCCGAACCGGGGCCCTCTGGCATCCCAAGCCAGCTCTTAAGCACCGCTGCACTTGGCCGTCCCTCCATATATACTTTAAGGCCTGTTATAACCCGTTTTGAAGTTACCATTTAAGGTGGCCACACACCAAAGGTTATGCCCCCATTTTGCCAATGAGGAAGTATTTTTAAAATTTTTGAAGGATACCAACTTGAATGTATAAACTTATATAAAGATGGAAATAAGATAGATCACTGTCTAGTTTTAAATTTTTATTAATTATATGTCCATGTTTAAAACTATATAGAATATTAGTTGGAAGGATTTCTGTTTATTCTACTCTCACATTTCATAAAACAATTTTATGAAGTTTTATATGCCTCTGAAATTAGTAGCTTCATTTCCACTAGAACCACTTTTTGAATTATTTGACAGGTTTTAAGAACATATTATCTTCTATGCTGTTTGAAATTTAATGATTTTTAAATCTATGTACGATGCTCAACCCTGGAAATTTTACGTCAGGCACAAGTATCCATATATTAATTAATACTAATAGAATAATGAGTTTCTTCTTTTTAATGTATTTTTTGCCATATTCTTTCGTGGTTTAATTAAAAAGGGAATATATTTTTTGCAATTTTGAGGTCATTCCTTATGAATAATTAAATAACTACATACATTTTTGTGCTTCTCTTTTTTTTTTTTTTTTTAATTTTTTAACTTTATTGGGAAACTGTTTTTTTCAGGACCCGTGAGCTCCAAGTCAAGTTGTTTTCAGTCTAGTTGTGGTGGGCACAGCTCACTGGCCTATGTAGGAATAGAACTGGCAACCTTGGTGTTAAGAGCCTGCACTCCAACCACCTGAGCTAACTGGCTGCCCCTGTGCTTCTCTTTTTAATTGAATCAGTCAGATGTCCTTTCATACAAGAGACTTTTAAGGACTCTAAAACAAAGTTATTTCTTCATTTCTAAGGAATACTTTTTTTTGGAAAAAATAAATCACCTTAGATTTGAGAATATATCATACATTGGAGATAATAAAGTAGGTAGGTGGGTGGGGGAAAATTGATAAGAGATATAAAAGAGCAAAGCCACTTGAGTGTCTTCTAGCTATGGTCTGCTTAACTTTTGGAAACTACTTTTTTTTTGGAAACTACTATTTAACCATACTTTTCTTCTTTTTATTGCAGATCTATGTTTGCACTGTGTGCCAAAATGTTTTCTGTGTGGACTGTGATGTTTTTGTTCATGATTCTCTCCATTGTTGTCCTGGCTGTATTCATAATATTCCAACTCCTTCAGGTATTTGATTCCAGCATATAGCACGTGTTGTATGTGTTAAAAATAAATTTGCAACTATAAATAAAATGATTTTTTAGAAGAAGTTTTAATTAAAACCTGAAAAGTAGTTCAAAAGGAAAATGTAGTATTTTATTAAGTTTTAAAATTTGCATCCTGTCACAGAAATACCTGGAATTCAATATTATCTTTCAGTTAATTTTGTTTTCTGTAATTTTGAGTTGTAATGTTTTCAAAGTCATTATACATTATTGTATTTAAGTTACTTATAATGATGAAATTGATGTGATAATGTCATTGTTTTATAATTAAAATACAGAATTTCAGTGATTTATTTTTATTCATTTTTAGTGTAAAAAGGAAAGTAAGTGTAAGTGTAAATTCAGTGTAGGATGAAAATTAGTCAATAGTTATGAAATTAATGCATATGAAATTATATACTGTTAAACTCACCCAAAGGATATTTTTTTGGCTTAACTAAACAATCAGAATATAATTATAAAATTAATGCATCTGAAATTATTTGTGGCTATAACTGATTGGGGTCTTTTTCAGCTTAAACATTCAAATTCACAAGGTTACCACGGTCATACATGGTACCAGTTTACTCAAAAGGATATTAAACAGGAACCTCAGGCTGCCAGTAGAGCAGCATCAGGTGTTCCCGTTAGTGGTGGAAGTAAGTCCTTGTAGCAGTTCAGCTAGCACCTTGTAGGTGCACGACAATGAGACCCTCCGCAGGCCTCTTAAAACAATTCCATAAGCCCAACTTCCAGGTCCCCCATAAGGGACATGTCAGTTTCAAGAGTCACCACACTCAGGAAAGCCTGAAGCAAGAGGTTCCCATCAGCTTATTTATAGTGTATCCAGTCCAGGTGCAATCTAGTAATCAAGAGTCATTTTTACCATAAACAAAGTTTCCTAAAAAACATAGTTGACATTCCTACCTTTATCAGTTACCATGACAAAAGAGCTAGAAAGCTTAACTGAAGATGAGATTCACATGTAGTGAAGGCAAAGGACTTGTTAATCTTTTCATTCTCATATACTAAACCTGTTGCTTTAAAGCTTCCTCAGTAATAACTGGTAAAGCATTTTACTTAATGGAGTATATCTAATACAACCATTTTGGTTGTTTGGTATATGAGACTGGTTTACTTTATAGTTTAAGCTAGTGGAAGTTGTGGTGTCCATCCCTGTTAGCCTCACTCAGGTTCATTCCCAGAGACCATTTAATTTAATCCATGTCAACTTTCCCACTCTGGGTCATCAGAAAACTTCAGACGAGAAAGTATGGTGAGGTCTGTTTCAGGTTCAAGGCAGTTCTGTTACTACAGGCAGAAAGAACTCTTTTTAAAGGTTTACGCTGTTCAGAAGGAATCAGGTTTCCATAGCAAAGGTATGCTTATTTTAAATCTATAAACTTTAGTCAGTCGAGATTGAGTTTCACTATGATATTCATGATTTTATAAATAACAATTCTTAGCAAAGTATATTATCAGTAAAGACAATGTAATCCTACCCTGGAGAGCAATAAACCTTGGATGGAGCCCACAAATATGCATTTCTTTTTTTTTTCCCCAAAGATTTTATTGGGGAATTGTGGGAGGGTAACAGTGCTGGGGAATTGGGGGAAGGGGAACAGACAAGTTGCTGTCGTTTTGTTCTTCAGTCTAGTTGTGGAGGACGTTGCTTCACTGGCCC